TGTTCCCATTTTTAAAGTCAACAAAAATTAAGTTTTTTACTTGCAAACTTTCATGTCGATAAAACAAAGAAACAAAGTTTTTTTGGCTTTCCATTATTTGCACGCTGTGCTTCATCTCAAGCTTCCTTTTTTAAAGTCACACCATTCTACTCAAATTAGAGCCCTGACTTTGTGTTCAGCCGTTATTACTTGTGGTTATCACAATACAAGAATTTCAAAAATCAATTCAAACGGTATAAGCAAGTGACGATAGGATAAAAAGTAAAATGGTGTCTGTACAACTGTTCTTAGCTAGCCACAACGAGGACGCAAAATAGCCAATTGGCTGCTATATATTAACTAAATGGAAAGACATTCCAGACAATCTGAGTCATACTAAAGAAAAAAATTCAAATTGATCAAGTAAAAATTGGAAAAAAAATCCGAATTGGCTTGCCTGGGACTCAAACAGGCTCTTTTGGTAAATTGGTCAATTGCATTACCATTCCAGTATCAGCTACTGGTCTAGACACAATTAGTAGCAGTAGAGGGAAGAGTTGAGTTAGATGATGTAGGATATGAAATCATTTGAATGATCAAAAAAACAAAAGTGGAAAAATTCGCTTTCTTAATATCAGAGTAAGCAGCCTCGAAATTCTTTAATTTCAAAACAGTTGATCAAATAAATTGAAACAATGACAAATGCAGGAGTTTTTTTGTCACTTTTGGAGATCTGAATATTTTATTTTGCACAATGTTAGGTAGCCGCATTGACAAAAAAGTATGCAGATTAAATTGAAGTCGATTTAAGTTGTTAAAAAGTAAGTTAAGCAAAAATAAAAACTCAGATCGATAGGGATCGATTTCAAATTGATTTAAATGGATTTAAATTCAACGCTAAAAAATCGATTGCAGTTGATTTTAAATCAATTCGAATGGATCTTAAAACTGACCTAAAGTTCAATCAATCCAAATTGATTTTATATCGATTTAAATTGATTTTTTTCACTTCTTTTTTTTTTTTTTTTCATCAAATTTTCGAATGACAGAAAAAAAAATTTGTTACGTGTCGTTACACATACCAAAATTGACTAAAATGCTTGTAAAACAAGATCAACCATCCCCCTTCCCCCACCCAATTCTTATCCCACCAAACCCCCCCCCCCCCCCCTATTCTTTTTCCCCCAACACCGCCCCCCTCCAATTCTTATCCCCATCAGTTATACCAGATGTAATTTTTGTCCACTAAATTCATTAAACTTTACTTGTATTTTTTGTTCACAATGTACGATAATAAAAATTAGCATGTGAGTTATTTAGGCTAAATTACAAACATAATTGGCCTTCATAACCTCATAAGAACCCTCGTTAAACCATAGCCTCGGCGCGACTGAAGAAAAGAGTTTGGACCGCGGCATTTTTTTTTCGCGCGATTTTAACTGCCAAAATTCTGTTGCGTCGGTTATAATTATCAAAACTTTGGTTAAGCCATTGTCTTGCTGACCTCGATCGGATAAACTTCTTTTGACTTTTCACACCTATTCGAAATTGCTATAGTGTTTGAAAAAACGGTTGAAAGTTAGCTAAATTTTAAAATGATAAATGGCATGCCATTTTGGTCGCCAACTTCTCAGTTGATCTACTTATCATTGTCGTTTGGTTTGTAATTTGGACATAATTTCACAGATAGTTTTCGGATGGCTCTGATAATGGAGGGAGGTGAAGGCTTCTTATCCTCCTGGTCGGCGTATTTCCCTATATTTTTGTCGCTGGCTCTCACAACCGCCATGGCTCGGGTTCGAACTAATTTTCACCACTTGATGTTTTGAATATCTGAAGAAAATCCCAGCGTTTTTTCTATGAGCTAATTTTTTTTCAGACCAGGTGTTAGAATGTATTGAAATAAAGTGTGAAAAATAGGATTGAATTGTATGTATACTTCAAACAAGAATGGTTTAAGTTGTGCATGTAAATCAGCAGTAGTGCAGTCCTGCTATTGGACGAAGCTTGCTCGAGTAATTGTAATTAGTGGAGATGATTGCATGTATACGTTATGCAATTTGCATAATGATGTATAATTGTTTTAAATTTTATGTATAAACGTCCTAAATTCAACGTTTTAGTTAATTGGTTTTGGCTGGTATTTGTAGCCTGTTTTCGAGATCGCTTTTCAGAATTTTTTAACAAGCATTTCAGGTCTAAGGAGCTATAATAACATGAAAAAATGAAATATAAACAAATTTAAATGAAAGCAATTTTTTTTTCAAATTTGAGATTTCTTTTGTGAAAATCATCACACCATACGCCATATAAAGAACAAATTGATTGACCTTACTCCTAGTAACAAGTCAAATATGGCAAATAAGCTTCCTTCCACCAATTTAGAGCGATTTCTAAGACTGATTACATCTCCGCTTCGTAGCTTGTGCTTGGCTGGTTCTCTGCCTGTGTTGCCTGGTGCAGAAGTTGTATTCCAGGACCGTCTCTTCAACCTCGGGTATGTGTGTTCTCACCTCCCCTAGTGCTAGCTTAGGTTCTTTTTTTTCGCGTTAGCCCAAGTGGCTTTCTGCTTAGTCTGGTGTCTAATGTTTCGCGGCGCTCTTGAGGCTTCAGTTTAGCTGAGGGTGTAGGCAAACTGTGCATTTGCTCGCGTACTGTTTGGCTTGTGTTGTGTTGTGTGATGTATTTTGATTTTTATTACATTTTACTATGCTGCTTAGGCCTCAGGCGCAGTTGGTTTCGTCGCTTGTGCTTGGCTGGTTCTCTGCCTGTGCAGTCTAAGGCAACATTTGAATGTCAATGCAACAAATGAACGTCATATTAAACAAAAGCAAATAATCAAAATCAAAATAATAACAAGATCAAAATAATCTTAAGAATGGAACATTTTTTGAGTTCAAAATCTGATTTGACATTTTCTTTATTATCAAATATGTTTATGCCCAAAATCGGATTTACAATGATGATTTTCTATGATTTTATTGCATATTTTTGAGCTCAAAATCTGATTTATATTGACCAATTTTTTCATTCGTTACACATTTTTTGCTCACTATCCGATTTTCAATGTTGATTTTCTATGATTTCAATGCATGTTTTTGAGTCTGGTTTATTTTGACAATTTTCTTGATTTGTTACATTTGTTATTGCACTATGTTACTTGAATTCTAAAACATCTGGCACGTGTGATGTGTGTTTCTATTTTAAAAATCAAGAATAAAATATTTCAATTAGTGTTCTAAATTGCATGTTTTTTTTGCCTTGTTGCCAAAAAATCGATTTTAGTGTGTCGGAAACCCAGTGATATCGACTTAAATTGGTTTTTTAGACACTTGAATCGATTTAAAAATTTTACGAAAATCGATACAAATCGATTTAAAATAGATTTAAGCGAGATTCGAATGGATTTTAGTGAGTCGGAAAATCCATCGAAATCGATTTAAATCGATTTTTTAGACACTCAAATTGATTTAAAATTTTCAAAAAGATGACTTAAATCGATTAAAAATCCATTTAAATTTGTAAAATGTACATGATTAAAGGATTTTGATCGATTTAGAATCGATTAAAATCAATTTAAATCGACCGAAAACCATTTCTGTCAGTGCGGGTAGTTTTATACGAAATAGAATTTTTTTCTGTCAGATGGAGGTTCAAACCTATCCACTGAGTTTAGGAGTGCGCGACAGATATACTAAACCAAATCATCATATTGCTCAAAAAGCCATACGCATGTATTGATTTCTATACAGGAATTGATTTTAAATTGATTCCACCTTCAGTCATCGTTTCCCCTTTCCATATCCACAAATATTGGAGGTAGTATACTTGCCAATTTTGATGACGACTAAGCAACGAGAGCAATAGCTTAGTTAATTCGAAAATCGAGGGTAAACACTAGACGGGCCAAATCTGAAAACAATTTTTGTTATAACTTTTTTTATCAGGAAAGAAAGTTATCACGGTTTATTGAAACTGACCAGAGTCGGTGCGAATACGGAACTACCTTCTTGTCTTCTCACCGTAGATAGTGAGCTTTAAAACTAAAAATCAAGTCTGAAAATGGTTGTTTCATGGTTAGCAAGCGCTCACTGCAGCCAAGGCATTATTTTGTAGATTTTGAATAAAAACTTTCGAAAGATTTTTTGTCCAAAATCGTGTGTCATGCATATGATCTGAAATTCAGTGTCTAATTCAGAAATTTTCAAGAAACAAACTCAACCTCAAGTTATGCTGATTTAATCAACACTAGGTTGAAACGAATGGCAATTCTCCGCAATGCTCTGGTACACAAAAGCCAAGTGTTATATCCGAGTTTTTCAGAGTCAATTCGATATGATCATAAACAGCAATTTACTTATATTGTTATAGTACCTGCTGCTTATGCGGAAAAAGGTAACCTTAAACTGACAGCTCCTCCGGTCGC